TCGACCTCTAGATTTATGGATATGAAGAAAAAGTGATTGTAATTCATGACAATAACACATTTCATAATGTATTATCTGAACCGTCTATTTTTCAGATTTTCAAGTGATACACTTTTTTTAGAGTTTTAAATTGTATAAAAGAAAGTGGAAGTGAACCCTAAAAATGATGCTAAGACATTATCTGACTTGTCCATTTTCAAATTTTCAATAAACCGTCGTATGTCGTATCTGCATTTTTTTTTAGCTTTAAATTTCATAATTAAAAGCAAAAATAAAATTCCAAAATAGACTTCAATTGCCAGAATTGCATTTCAAGTGAAGAATTTGTTCAACTATACTGTTTTTCAGGAAAATCGTGGACTTACGCTCACTGTAACCCAAGCAAAAGCTGCTATGTGCACAAATAGCAATACGATTGTTACCGTTCCTATTTCATTGTATGAACCACAAACGCCTCCGTCAATCCACTGGGCCAGCGCAGGGTTGCATAACTTATTTATTGGGGCTAAGCTGCCATCAAAGAGAGAATATTTACTTTTCGAGTAATTGATGTACGGACCAAAAAAAAAAAAAGGAAAATATGAAATGACAAATTTTGGGTGAAAATTATGTAGAAGGTTGGTCAACCTATAATTTTTATTTTTTTTAAATTTTTTTTATGTTTGAGGATGCCATTCTCGGACAACTCTTTGTTTTTTAGTTTTTCATTAGTAGTAGTGTGGGGGGCTGTGTGTAGTCCAGAAGGCAGTCCAAGATTGGCATCCTCGAACCGCTTTATTTGTTAAGAAACAAATGAGCTAATGCGGTCTGAAGATGCCAACCTTGAACCGCCTTAAAGAGCACTAGAAAAGGCGGTTCGAGAATGGGCAACTCTGGCCGCCTCTGAATGCTTAACAAATTCAGTCTTTCTAGTCCGAGGATACCAACTTCGAACTGCTTTGAAGAACACCACAGAAGGTGGTTTGATGATGAACATTGAACCGATTAGGCACTGCACCAAACATTAGGGCACATCTCTACTATAGAAAAAATCTCCAAAACTACATTAAAATACAGTCCGGTATCCTCAGACCAAGAAGTAATTTTTTTAAAAAATAAAAAACCTCAGGTTCACTGACCTTCCGCATAAATTTAACCAAAAATTGACTCATTTCGTATTATAGTATTTGTTTTGTATTCGTACGTAATTCACTCTTATTTTTAGAACAAGAAGTTCACAAACACTCCTGTCAGATTTTATATCTGGTGGTTGTAAGTGTGTGTATCCGTACGTAATTTACTCTTATTTTTAGTACAAGGAGTTTACAAACACTCTTGTATGTCGGATTTTATATCGGGTGGTTGTAAGTGTGTCATTGACTACACTCAAAATTCAAAACAAAGTTTTTCAAACTTCGTGACACACCCCAAACCATCCAATTTAATAGTTAATTGCTACCTCCTTGCAAGAATGATAAATAGTCTTAAAGTATACAATCCCCTCGTGGGCTTTTGTCAGTAAGAATTTCCTTGTTACCATTCTTAGCACCAATGCTACTTTTCTTGAGGTAGCTATTGACGCACTTATCAGTTGCGGACATTGTTTTCTTGATAGTGAACAAATGTTACCACAGATGCTACTTCGCTTCCTCATTTTGAAAGTTCACTTCTTGTATCAAAAATTGAGCACGCTTACGATGCATAACTTGTCATAATATTTTAGGAGTATTCCTTTGGAGTCACTTTTACTCAAGATCGAACTACATGAGTTGCTTTAACTTAATGGCCCTTGATCAATATCATAGCTACTCTGGTCTAAAGCGAATATTGTGTTTGGTCGAAAACTTGTCAAAATCAATATTTGATCGATATGAGTTACTCTAAATGACTGCTTTTTACAACTTGGATTGACACAGCAAAGTTAGACATTTTTTTATCATATATTGCACATTTTTTATGACATTTATTCTTATATCATTTTACTTTTTTAGAAAGCCCGCCTAAAAAATGCTCAAGATATAGCTTAGAACATCAGACTAACTCAAAATAAGGGAAAGTGCCTAAAAATGAGCTTTTCCCTTTCTCATGTTTAGAATCACAGATTGACCCACAATAGGGCAAATACTTAAAAATGGGGATGTCCGATGTTTCAGACATCAAGCAACCTAATGTAAGGTAGTCCAATGGTTTGAACATCGGGCTGACCCCTACACAAAATGACAGCCCTATGATCGCACAAAAATAAAAATAAAAACTAAAAGCATTTGTTGTTCACATCAAAAGGAGGGGCAAAACTAAAAAACATAAAAAAAATTGAGGGGAATAGGATCTCCCATAAATTTTAGAAAAAATTGGATCATATTGCAATACTACATAAGCTTTCCATTTTTTTAAAAAAAATTCCTTTAATATTTAAGAAAATTATATAGACCCACAATTTGTCCTTTCTAGGAAAGCCCCCTATCTGATCCACCCCCACCCCAAAAAAAAAGAAAAAAAAATCCTTTTTGATATCACACTATTAACTTGAATACTATTTATTTTTACATTCACAATCCAAGTGCTAGATGTGTCGGACCGGCTTCTATATTCAAGTTGCGTTTATAGAGGGAAAACGGGAAATGTGGGTTAAAATGAAGTTATTTTGTCCCAAAAATAAACTTTTTTCCTTAGCATGTGGGTGAAAAAATAAATAATATTAGGTTATTAACGTGGTATAAAACTATTAGAGGGAGAATACCTCAAAAGTCCAAATTCAGGAATATATATAATTTTACCGAAAATTTACCTCCTTTGACATTTCACCGAACTCTTGTTTGAATTTGTTGAGTCAAAAACATAATGTTTACCAAGGATTGCTACTACTTTGTCACGACATGGTTATTACCTGCAATATGGGAAGTTTGTGAACGCGCAGTCTACACCTGTATTCCACTATTAATTTGTGCTAAATAAATGTACTATGCAATGCAAGTGACATAATTTCCTCATTCATCAATCCGAGGATAAATACATAAATAGACAAACATTTGGTTGGCTTTTTTGGGGTTTTAAAGTGTCAATATGTTTTGTGAAACTTTGGAATCATCATCAACCAAGCTTTATTCTAATTATTTTGATCGGCTATACGAATTTTATTCCACCATGTTGTTCTATCAAGGGCTAATGAAATTATAAGTCATTATATTTATTCTCATTACTTTTGTTCTATCAAGGGCTAATGAAATTATAAGTCATTATATTTATTCTCATTACTTTCATTTATGCTCTAACATCCTAATTAACTTTTGCTCATTTCTCATTGCATCTGATTTACTGGTAAAGTGAGTCATTTATAATGAATGCCTATCATGCGCACATAACATATATTCGGGATTTAGATTCGGATTCATGAAAAGTCGTGGCAAAGTTTTACACTAGTTGTCTACGTAACACAACCCTCTGCCTTTAGTTGGGCTTGGGCTTGGGATTGGTGTGGGGCATAGCAAAGCAAAGTGCTTTGTGAAACTTGGAGATTGATCCCAAATGAAGCGAGACATAGAGAGATACAATAAAAAATGGACGAAATATTGGTAATTGTTTTCATGATATTACATCATCATCACCATCATCATAATAATTTTTTTTCTGATTAATTGAGGTCGGCTACAAGAATTATGATATGTCATTCATGATATTATATGAGAAGCTATAATTCTCCATCTAAGAGAGATTGACCAAATGCAATGACCTATGTGTCATTCAATAGAAAGAAAAGAAGGAAAAATGGATGGACTTAGTTTTAATTAGCATCTAGGTTAGCAAAAAAACACATTTTCCAACCCAAAATGCAGACTAGATCTTCTATCATTAAACAACCAGCATCAAGTACCCACCAGAGCACAGGGGGCATAAACATTGAGAGAAAGAGAGAGAGCTTAAAAGTTAGAGAGAAAGAGAGAGCAGTTGACACCACAGGCTTCATCGATCCACAGCTCACCACCACCACCACGAGAGAGAGAGAGAGAGAGAGAGAGAGAGACAGCACCCTCTAAATCCCACTCGACCCCACAAGCACCATCAATCCATAGGTCACAGCCATGGCCAGCCACCCCCCAACCAATACCCTCGCCGCCGATCTCACCACTGGCGCCCTCCCAAGCCTAGCTCCCAACACCCCAAACCCCACCAACGCCACGGTCGCCGCCACTGCCACCACCCCAACCCTCACCTTTACCGTCCTCACAAACGCTGCTGCCAGTATTGGGACTGCTGCTCCCAACGCAAACGCCATCGCCGATGCTGCCGCAGCCTGGAAGGGGCTCGGGAGCCTCAGACCCTCGCTCTCCTTTTCTCCTCCCACTCTTTCCCTCTCTAACTGAGCCACCTCTATGTCAAGTTGCGAGTAGACCGAGACAAACTCACCGATGGCCATGCTGCATGCCCCTGCTACAAGGCCAGCAAGGCCAGAGAGCAACATGGCCTTCGGATCAGTTTTGATGGCACCAACGCCTACCATGAGAGAGGCGGTGGAGACAAGACCATCATTGGCACCGAGTACCGCAGCTCGGAGCCACTGGGAGCGTTCCGAGTAGTCGATGTGTTCGGGGGCAGGGGATTCTAGGTCGGGGAGCTTGTCAACCATCTGGAGGTTGTTGCTTCCATGCTGCATGGCCATGACTGAGAGAGAGAGGGATGGATTTAACTGAGCAGAGAGGTTGATGAGAGTGGGGAAGAGGATAAAGGCGTGTGGAGAGCACGCGCCTCAGCATCAATTTATGGAGAGGGAGGAAGAAGGGCTTCTCTAAGCGTTTATTATTTTTTGTTTAATTTAGTCCTATGGCTGTGCCTTTGACACCAACCTCCACCAAAGGCCACCCAGTTACTAATTTAGACCTTCTGTTCATGTATCTGCCTTTTTTAGACACTCCTATAATCCCTGTAATTTTCTTTGTATCCCCCTTGTGCCACAGTTTGTGTCCCAGGCCCTACTTTTTAGGATTGTGCTGACCGAGCATGCTGGTTAGTCTGAGCCGGCTGCCCGGCCATTGCCAACCCTAATATCCCTCTCTTCTACACTTGCTTGCTCTCCCTCTTCACTTGTTTGCCTTTCTCCCTCAGTTAAATTTGATGCCCCTTTTGGCTAATTCAACAACATTAAATGGGCTAGGATGTCTTTCCGGTTAATACTAACCCATAAATTTCAACTTATTCAGGGTTCGAATCGTACTATACTACACAATTTTGGTAAAGGTGCTTGGGGTCGTGGTTTCTATT